TTTTTTTTTTTTTTTTTTTTTTTTTTTTTTTTTTGAAACTTCATGTCACTCATGTGTGGGAAAACCACTTAACGAGGTGATAGGAGAAGCCATGCTCCATCTATTGGTGGGGAGCACTGGCCAGTGGCTACTCCAGCTTTTTTTCTTTTGCTGTAATCTTTGTGCAATCAGACAAGTACCAATGACCAGATCACGAGTTCGAACTTCACATCCATTTTCACTTATTGAAGTTATTGTTGATGTAACATTAGCTGCGTGCAGTTGGGTATTTTACTATTTAAAATTTAAAGTCTATTCACCAACCTCACACCTGGTGAGCTTTTTGGGGGTCCACATCCCACAGAACTGATAATTATGTCAGCTCCAAGGAAAAAATATATATATCTATTGGACAACCTTGCATACACTGAAGTATGGATGGGCAATAAGAAGTGGGGGAAAGGGAGAAAAAGAGACTGCCCCACTCCCTATGAAAGAAGCATGGATATCTCACCATTGGAGGTGTGGGCTGGATATCAAGACCCGTATGGTTTCGCTTCTGTACACTGTGGCCCTGCTATAGCGGTTAAGAGACTTGGCTCTTGTGGCCAGAAAAGTACTGATCAGTGATCACAAAACTAGCTTATCACCACCGGTACAGTAATTTCACGACTGCCATACTCCTCCTTTCCACGAGTATGTTCGTCTTTCCTTTCTTCCCCCCTCCCAAATTGCACTTTTAATAACCGGGCTCCCCGCCCAAGTTAAGACACATCAACAGTCACAAAAAAAAGAGAAAGCCAGGTTATCTTGCCCGACCAAGCAAGAGCTTGGAGCCCCGTCGCTATTCACACGACGGACTTATACCATATGTTCCTCTTTCACATGTTACATCGTATTGCGTGTACCGTTTTAGGATCATAGAACGATGCAACTGTGTAGTGCATTCGGGAAGCACGACTTCTGGCATGTGTCAGAGTACTGCTGTGCAGAGTCTGCACATATGCATATACATATATGTATATAATGTATGTATATACACGTGTGTATATATATAGGGTTCAGCCTCCTTAGGAGTTGGACGAAACAGTTTGTCACAGCCCCTAGTTTGTTGTCCTCTTCTCCCTCTCTGACTACGGTTTACCAGGCAGCTCTGTTTGACTGCCCCGTAAACCATAGGCAGAGAGGGAGGGGAGGGAGAAGAGGACAGGAAATGAGGGGCTGTGACAAACTGTTTTGTCGGGGTTTCACCGACCTCATCGAGAGGCTGAACCCTCAACAGTCTGCAGAATCCCCTACCTGATTACACTGTAAGTGACAATCCACCTTAAACCTGGCTGTGGTTAAGCATCAACCACTGCCCGACAACAGATATATACCGCATATGAATATATATGTACATAATGTATATGGATATATATACAGTGTTATATATACACATATATACAGTGTTATACACGTGTATATATATAGTCAAACAGAGTTGCCCGGTAAACCGTAGGCAGAGAGAGGGAGGGAGAAGAGGACAACAAACGAGGGGCTGTGACATACTGTTTCGTTGGAGTTTCACCAACTCATCAGGAGGCTGAACCCTCAAAAACAGTCTGCAGAATCCCCTAACTGATTACACTATAAGTAATATCCACCTTAACCCCGGTTGTGCTTAAGCATCAATGACTGCCCGACAACTTATACCCCTCTGAGGTGGTGGGGATCACCAACCACTGCCCTCAAGGTACCTGTGACGAAAAACAAAGCGGACTATCACTCACCCACACCAGATGGAAAACTCTACAGACTGTCGGTTCACACCCCATCACAAGCAAGCAAAACACCCACGAAACAAAGAAAGGTCTGTCACAGCCAAAAACTACACTCCAGACACGCCGCTGGCATTAGAGGCACAGCATGGCAGCGTGGTGACAGCCCCGACCACTGCCGCTTGACCTGACCAGATATATATATATTATATATATATATCGTCACAAATAGAACTGCCCGGTAAACCGTAGGCAGAGAGACAGAAGAGGACAACAAACGAGGGGCTGCGACAAACTGTTTCGTCGGAGTTTCACCGACTCATCAGGAGGATATATATATATATATATCGTACACAGGTATCAGTTGTTGGGCAGTTGTTGATGCTTAACCACAACTGGGCTTAAGGTGGATTATCACTTACAGTGTAATCAGTTAGGAAATTCTGCAGACTGTTCAGGGTTCAGCGTCTTGATGAGTCGGTGAAACTCCGACGAAACAGTTTGTCGCAGCCGCTCGTTTGTTGTCCTCTTCTCCCTCCCCTCCCTCTCTGCCTACGGTTTACCGTCGGCAGCTCTGTTTGACAATATATAGCTTCATTTGTGGGATTCTGGTATCACGGTGTCGAGCGCATCGGCTCTTGCCTTTTGAGAAAAAGGCGTGTATCTCCAAGTTGTCTCTCTCTTGTTTTCTTTTACTCCTGCATTTTGCCAAAAAGGCGGGAGCCGATGCGCTTGACAACAGTATTATCACCGCAACTCCGAAACACTCCATTATTGTCTTCCAGTAAGTATTATCTGGGAAAAGATTAGTTGGGGAAAGGGAAGGGGGGGGGAGGAGGGAGGAGGGAGCCGGGAGAGGGGGGGGAGGGGGGAGGGGGGAGGAGGGGGTGTCTCAGTTCGTCATCCTTACATCAAGGACCAGTTTCCCATTTCTTCAATGTTTGATGGCCCAGGCATCCTGTCCTTTGAGTCCGGTTGTGAGTACAGCAATTGGCTTTTCACGCTATTTAACTGGATTAACTTCTTGACGAGATCGTCCACTGTCCGCTGCGTTCTTTTTCTATTTACATCGGCACTACCCTGATCATACAAGAGAACCACAAACAGACAGCACCAGTGAAAGAAACAAAAAACGAAGGAAACACTGGCAAAAAATTAAAAAACCAACTCGATTTATATCATTCAGCAAAGGACATAACACAAGCTATTCGCCAATTTTCTGGAGACTGGTTGGGCAGTGAGCAAGGGGGCTGGATCGCATCTATCAGATGGGAGGGAAAGCCCACCCATGAAGGCAACCAGGAGGAGTTCAGGAGAGACTACCGTATCTTCTTCAGAGACTGGATTACGGTGGGCCAGGAGATCCCACTGCGACCAGCCACAAAATTTCCCGACCCCTTCCCGCCCCACCAATTGGCAATGGTGGATATGCAATGGTACGGAGCAGACTGAACGGGTGATACAGGGCAGCTACAGAGAAGACTTTTTTTTTTTTTTTTTTTTTTAAATAGCTCCGAGCTATTGGTGGGGAGCAGCACCTGCTGGAAAACGGGTCCAGCATCCCTTACATATATCTTTGAATGAACATGGTATCAAAAAAGTACCAATCCAAAAATCTCATATCCAAGTAAAGAGCTGATCTAGTCGTAGAAATCCAGATGCCTCTTCAGTCATACAAAATGACCGCCAGAACAGAGTGATTAACCTAGCATCTATCTCCATAAACTCCTACCTATCTAATAAATCCACCTATCCTCCCTCTTCCCCCCCAAACCATCCTAGATCCACTAAAGTCAGTGCAGAGGGAGGAAAAGGGTCAGAGAAAAACTCAGGTGATCTCAAAAAAGCTTCAGGCGAGATATCAAACCAATTGTAGAAGGTCATCTAGTAGTCTCGCTTAAAGGTCACCTGCTCCCCTTCCCCTCCTGGCCAAACCACCTTCCCCAGTTTCTCCCCTCATGCATCCCCTAACCATTCCAAATTGAATTTCGATATTCTCTGTGCGATATCTTTTTTTTTTTTATATTCAATAATTTTGACTTTATCTTTTCCCATTGAAATCTTATTTCAGATTGAACAAATTGTTGAATTATGTCTACCACTTCTTGTTTTCCAATTATAATTCCTTTAATGGCGCTTATACATCTTTTATGCCACAATGCACATAACACTGTTTTCCTGCTTAAATGGAATAAGTTTTGTTGAAAATCAGACAATTCAATCAATGCGGGAATCCAATGTCCAAGGAGAATATCCCGCCACTCCCATGGCCAGACTAAGCCTGTCAGCCTTCTCCATACATAGTCTCATAGTCTCCAAAGCAATACAGAGTCTGGGCATTGTAAGAAGATATGCTCAATTGTTTCTCTAATCTTCCTACTTGGGAAGGCTTGAACACATGTTCTACACCATGGTACTGCCTTACCCTTTTGTTCAAGAGAAGAGTGGTCTATTAATCAATCGTTTGTGGGTAGGCATCTGTGTATTATTTGCCACTGTAAAGATGCAAACTTGGCTGGCCTCTCTCTGATGTCTTTGCACCACTTCACTGGTCTGATCAGATCTTTATTTATGTTTAAGTGTCTATACCATCGATCCTGTAACATTTCTGAAACCTCCATTTTAGGGCGAAGTAGCCTATAGGAAGCCTTTACGCTCAAGGATTGTAGTCTTAAGGGTTTGCTTCTCTTATTTAGCCGCCATACCCAATCGGTCGGGTCTAAGGGAAGCTCCGGTATGGGACACTGAGGTAAAAAAAAAATCCACCCTTTTGCTTCCGTACAGCATATGGCTCTTATCCTAAACATTTCGTCAAAGTTTGAGAAGATGATCGTGTGTAGATCCTTGTTAGAAATTGTATTATCTTTTTTTATCTTAAAAATATTGACCAAGGCACCTTCTTCGTGTACATCCATGATTTGTCTTATTGACTTGGCTCCATCCTGACGATTTATACACACCCAGTCTGCTGTTCGAAACACCGGGCCTTTTTTAAGCAACATTGTCCAAGCCAAAGGAATAGCTGGAGTGATTTCTTCCAAATTATTCATTAGATTGTGTGCATACTTAATCCCTTTTCTAAGTTCTTCTACAATCTTCCAAGTTTTATTTACCGGGTCCCACAGATCCTTAATTCTTACTACTCCATTCTTAACCCAATTTGACCAGGGGGATTCCGAGCATATAAAGACTCTACCATTATGGTCAGTAATCCATCTGTTACCGAAAAAAAGTTGTCGTAAGACTTCCTCGAATCTTTCAGGTACATCTCCCGCCAAGTTTTCAACAGGTTTGCCCAAAAGTCGTCCAGTCTAAGGTCTCTCTTGGCCTCACCTCTCGCCCTTGTGTCAGTGTGATGCATTTGGGTACGAGGAATAGACCAATATCTATCCTCTACCCATGTCCGGGGATGGACTACCTCTGTGGTTTGAGGTGCCAATCTGCAAATCTGTTACAGTGCTAGATCCCGCCATGGTATATTTCTAGTTAGAATTAAACGTTTGACCACTTGAAGTGCCAAAGCCTGACACTGCGTTTTTGGGTCAATAAGTCCAACCCCTCCTTTGGTCTTTGGCTGGATTAAGGTCTTCCAAAAAACTCTTGGAATTACATGTGGTAATTCGTGATCCCCTCTCCAAAGGAAGGCTGCAAGTTGTCTTTGTATGTCCTTTGTGGGCTTCGTACTCAAAGGCCACAACAATGATTTGTACCAAATCGAAGCCAGCACCACATTATTAATTATCAGTGCTCTTCCAAAGATTGAAGTGTGCTTATTCTTCCAAACCTTCATTTTATTCAACGTCGGAGAAGAAATTCATATATCGTTAGAGTTTGGTTTCCCTTGTGATGTGAGAATTATCCCTAACACCCTTATGGGTGCTTCTAACGGGACCCATTTAATATTAGGGATCTCTGGAGGTCTCACCCCTTGTGAATGAATCCACCAACCCAATGTTTTATTCCCCCAATTGACTAACATATCTGATAAGGCTGAAAATCTATCCATTATTGCCTTAATTTCCTCGAGATTAGTTTTGGAGGCCTCCATCATGATTGTCAAATCATCCGCGAACATGGAATAGATTGGAATTGCCTCCTTAAAAAGCTTAGCTATCCTCAACCGCTGAATGTTAGGGTTTTCTCTCAAGTTTGCTCCTAATGCTTCCATGATGATAACAAAAAGGAAGGGGGCTAAGGGATCCCCTTGCCTAACTGATCTCTGAAGAGGGATCTCTGGCGACAGTAAACCATTTACTTGTACCCTGGTAGTAGCATTTGAGTGCAGAATTTTGGATCCATCTCCTTATTTTAGGTCCAAAATCTAACTTAGTTAGACATGCTTCCAGAAAACGCCAATGAACATGATCGTAAGCCTTTTCGAAATCTATAAATACAAAGGCCGCGTAGCTCTGATTTTGTCTCGATAACTTAATTGTTTCATTGATCAACAACACGTTATCCTGTATATTTCTCCCATGAATAAAACCTGTTTGAGAAGGGTGAATGATGTCGGTCATTATAGGAATGAATCTGTTAGCTATAGCCTTAGCTAGCATTTTACATACCATAGTTAATAAAGTGATTGGTCTATAATTCCTTATGTTTGTCTTATCTCCCTTTTTGTATAAAAGGGTTATAATTCCTTGGCTCACAATCTCTCTCATACATCCATATCCAGAGGACTGGTATTCAGAGGAACAGGAGCCACTAGGGTAATATGAGTGATCTGGCGGTCTGGTGCACACTGAAGAGGCGACCCTTGGTTTGTCAAACGCAATCATCACTATTTCTCTTATATTGGAGAGTTATCCTCAGGCCTAGTTCTCAGCATAGGAAGACCAACCAACAGGTCTCGGATAACAGACAGTGATGGGACGCTGGACCTGGTTTCCAGCAGGTGATGCTCCCCACCAATAGATGGAGCAGTCCGTCGACAAAGCGTCAATCCCGGTGGTTCTCTTACCACCACTGGGATAGAGGCCTTGCACAAGGGCCTTAAAAAAAAAAAAAAATAGTAATAAAAAAAAGGGGCTCATCACCCAGCAGACAGGGAAGATAAGATGATGCCAAACATAACATTTCTCTTTTATTAAGAGCAAGCAACCTTACCCATCTGACCCAACTGTACCGCTGAAAAATGGGTAATCACCCCCCATTTAAACCCCTTAAAGAAATTAAGACCCATTTATTCCCCCCTTCCCCCTACCCCTGCCCCTGCCCCCCCAATGAACAACACTGGAAAAAGAAAAAAAAGCTCAGTAGGGTAAGCTTACCCATCTGACCCCTCCGTACCGTTGGAAAATCAAATTTAAGTGACAGGACCTACTGGTACTATGTTCATGCTAATAAGGCATGAACCTGGACATGTTTGCAATTATATTCATGTTTTCCAAGCATGAACATAGCACCAATGAGACCTGGACCTCAGTCAGAATCTGATGATGGAGAAGGTATTAGAATATAATAAGCATGGTATGGATGTTGTCATGGAACCCAATCCATGCGGCTGAATGATTTGTCTGCATGCGCTGCTCAAAACACACACACACGCACACGCACGCACACACACACACACACTGTGACACACACACACTGTGACACACACACACACGGCAAACCATCACAATGTCTTAAAATTTGCTTTCGTTCTTGTACCTTCTTTCTGTATGTCTTGTCATTATCCTTTTTTTATGCTTTTTCCCCCCTTTTTTCTTAGGCTACCAGAGTGGCCCGGGGCCACTTGCCCGGATGGGCCAAAAATAATAATAATAATAATAATAACTTTATTATTTATTTTAAAGTTGGTAAAGGATTTCGATGTGACCCTGAGGCAAAAGTTGTTCATTTTATTTTTCTGCATAACATAGTTTTTTGGGGGATTTTTGTTTTTTGTTTTGTGCTAGGACCTTCCCTGGTCCTTGCACGGTCGGGCCGTCCGGGAAAATAGGGTGACCTGGGCGGCCTGGCTGAGTTTTTTTCCCTCTTTCGAGTCTTTCCCCCTTTTTTTTTAATGATCCCACTCCATCCATTATTTGAAACTCGAATGTGAGAAAAAAAAATGCCGCCCCCCCCCCCAAAAAAAAAAAAAAAAAAAAAACACAAAAGAAAGAAAAGAAAATGCAAGACTTGCTGAACTCAAAAGAAGAAACGGGGAGAGATAAAAGAGTGGAAGATGCAGGACTTGCTATGGGGAGAGATAAAGGGTAATGGCGCCGGTACTCTCTCTTTGTTGTACAAATATTGGGACGCTGGACCCAGTTTCCAGCAGGTGCAGCTCCCCATAAATAGAGAGGAGCCATATGGAGGGGGGTGCTACCTGGGGATGCTCTTATCACTCCAGGCAGCAATTCCAGAAGATGTTAAAAAAAAAAAAAGAAAAAAAAAAAAAGAAAAAAAGGGGGGGGGGGGGGGGTGGGGGAGGTGGGCGAGAGATAAAGAGCCGAATAGAATAGAGAGGATAGAAGGAAGAAGAAGAAGAATCACGCAAGTTGGAACCAATGCCTTCCCCCTTTTCTCTCTCAACTCATCTTCTCCTCCCTTCCTCCTCCTCTTCAACTGGTCGATTAAACCACCACTACTTTTGACCCTTTCCTTGCCGAGCCCCGAAAAGCCCTACCGGCCCCTACGTGGCAAAGAAAAATGAACCAGTGCGGGCCTGCTTGGGCTGGTGCCACCAGCCATTTTGTTCCAGTAGGCCGGCCACAAGCACACCGTGTTCTTCTTCGTCTTCCTTCCCTCTTCTTCTTCTTCTTCTGCTTCTTCTTCTTCTTCTTCTTCTTCTTCTTCTTCTTGCGGTTCTTCGGGCAGTAGGGTGGAGTAGGAGGGTTGCGCTGGAGGGTCGGGGGGTAGGGTCACTAGGGTGGGAGGGTCGGG